AGAGAGAAAGAGAATGCCGTTTATGTGTTCATTTTGGAGTGCTTATAGAAGAAAAAAATATTATTCTTTCTTTCATCTTTTTTTTTTCGTTTTCTTCTTCTTTATTGAGGACAAACAAGCTTGTGCTGCTTTCAAGAAACTTCCTTCGAAAATTTCTTTTATTTCTCTTCTTCTAAGGTTATGGACAGAGTTGAACTACTGTATTACTACTCCACAAACTTTCTCTTCAACTTTTTATAATTTTTTGTTTGCTTTCTATGCACAAGTCACGTAATCCACGTGGATTACGTGAAAGTGAAAAATGAAATTGGTGAATGAGCATTCGTATTTCGTAGATCTGACTGAGCGGTTGTGTTTCAGAAGTTTTCCTCCATCTCCTCCATGTTCTTCAATATTATAAATGATTTTCAAGTTTCCTAATGTTTGAATTTTCACATGGAATGCGTCTTCCCCCGTATGGTATATCGCCTGGTTTCAAACCATACTTCATCATAGTAATGGCTTCAGTCCAATTGAAGCATTGATACCTTCCTCCCATTTCCCTCCTACTCTCGTCTCCCTCTCCATCATTCTCTACTTTTCTCTTTCAACTGTTTTTCAGCATATTTATAAGCTAAACATGTTTGGTATACTTAAAGGTAATGATTTCCAGCATTCTTGTGTCATTGCTGCTAGGCAGTGAAGTACATGAAACATGGCCATACGTTCGACCATCTACCTTAACAGGAACCATGTCTAATGGAAAAGCCCAAGAGTTAGATGATCAAATATGTAAGAGTGAGAAACAAAAAGTAAAATATACTTTTGAAGGTATGCAAATGAGTGAGAAATAGATGAATAGAAGGTTTAAGCACTTGCGATATCTCTGCTGAGATAATTTTTGAGTGAAAGGACGTTTGAAAGAGAAATGTATGGAGCATTTACATAAAAACAAACTCAAGATTTTTGACACATTTTTTGTTTTGTTCTTCTCTCTCTTACATTTCATTTTGTGTTTCGATTTCTCTCGTATCGAAGGTTTCTACCTCTTCGCCTTCTCTTCATATCATCGTATCTGTGCTTTTGTAGTTCTGTTTTCCATTTTTGGTTTTATCCCTCTTACTCTCTCCCTATCTATCTCTGAGGACTTACAAACTGAAGACGATCAGCAAACACATAAGTAAAAAACTTTTTTTTCTTCACATCAAACATCTCCCATTTGATATTTCATTTTTGCGCTTTATATTCATTCGACGGATAATTATTTAATGAAAGCAATGAGATTCTTCCAGCTTCAACTCCCCCAACCTTCTTCTTCATCTTCTTCATTCCTCCGCTGATTTACCAAACAAGGGAATTTTCGATTTGTTAACGAGATGACATGTAATGAGATAGGAGTATGGAAATCACCTCCCTTAATCGTTCGTTCTGATAATTTCATTAGAATAACCCGGAACTACACCATCCAGCAAGTGAATTGAAAATGCATTCTCTCTATAACTGAAATGAGATTGATATAGAGGGAAAGACATAGGCAGACAGAGAGAGAGAGAGAGAGAGAGATAAAGTGAGAACAGAGAGAGAGAAAGAAAGAGTTTGATCCTTATTCTTATACAAACTATTACTTCCGGTCATGATTTCATTCATCCAGCTTTATCATTTTCTCGTTTCTTGAAAATTTAATGAAAAGTTCTGTTGGCTTTAAATTGAAAAACTGAAGAACAAACATACCTTCAAAGCTTTTTCATGCTAATTTATGATAATTTCTTTGCCGAAAAGTCATTTTCATGTAAAAATACGTGATGAAAAGAGTTTTTCGTTCTCCCTTTGCAAATCTAAATTCTCCTTTGCAACCTCTCAGACTTACCTTCAAATGAACTTGTTAAGTTCATTCAGATATGCTAATCAATCTTTCTTTTTCTTTCTGTAATTTATAGCTTTACATTACTCTTCTTATACTTCTTCCTCTTTGTTTCGAATAGAATGGAGAGAGGGAGGTAGAGAGAGAGAGATGAAAAGCTATGCAACCGGTACGTCATTGATGGATAAAGCAAAATGAGAACATGCACGTGGCACGTAAATGATTGACGTAGATCATTAGCATAGATCTTGGTTTTTGAATCTTCTAAAGAAGAATGAGCGGAAGGATTCAAAAGAAGAAAGTATTTTCCATCTTAAACGTATGTATGCATGTATATATCTATATAAATGAAAATAATTTTTAAAAAATGAAAAGCAAGGATGAGTTAAGAGAAGATAGATAGATGAAGCCGTATGCCTAATAACAGGGAATGAGAGCGAGCTGACACACACACAAAGATGAAGAATATGAGCAATTTTTGTGTTTTTCTCTTTCGTTCGCAGAAACAATAAGCGAAAGCAATGTATTTTGTGGGTTGTTAACGGAATTTCATTCCAATAAAACTAATTTCAAAAAGGTTTTTATTTTGAGTACGACAGTAGTAGTAGCAGCAGAGAGAGAGTTCTAATCATAGAACAGTCCCTCCATTTCATGAAAATCATAAATATTTGAATGAAATTCAATTAATTCTCTTTTAATTTTTTATTTTTTTTCCAGCCTCTCCCTCTCCCTCCCTCTCTCTATCATTCTCTGATTAGGAAAGATCAAAAAAATAATTTTTGATTGTGTGAGAGGTTTGTTGAAGATTGTTGCAAACAAGCGTTCTCTGTTGCATTCGTCATCTTTGAATATTGATAAGTTCAACAACATGAGAAGGAGGAAATACTTCTGAGAATGGTATCTGTTCCTTTGAAGCTTCTTCCCTCCTCCCTCTCCTTTACATACTCTGTTGCATTTTCTCTGTCTGCCTCTCATAATCCTTTGAGTTGTCTCTTAAGCTTCCTTTTTTGTGAAAGATCCTTCACATGTTTCCACGTGTATACTCTTTGAAGTCAACAAACCTTTTTTTTTTTGAAAACTTTTTTTCTGATCATTCAGTTCAATTAAGCTTCCTCTCCATTAGCTCTATGAATTCGGAACGTTATGATTTGATTTCGTCTCGGCTGATCGGAAATGAATTCGGAGAGAGCAAAGCATTGTGTCAATGTTAACCTCATTTTGCGTTTTTAGCGACCATGTTTAGTACTTTTGATATAAAGTGGCAAGATGAAGTGAGTCAAACGTAGCTAACTACTTAAACTATAAGATAGGATTATGGGTGAGATGACTAGTTGGCTAGCATCGATCATATTCCGTATTATTCCAGCCATTCGCTTCTGAGAACTGACGTAATCCCGTTCCTCAGAATTGAAATTAAGCTCTCCTTGACTGTTTTATGAGTTGTAACTATGGTTAAGTCAATTTTCATTTTCATTTAACTTTGTTATTCCTTCATTCCTGTCATGTTAGCGAACAGTCAAGACTGAGAAGAGAAGGAGGAACTACTTGTTGGAAAGAATTAAAAATGAAAAAGCATAGAGAGTGAGGGGTGGGGGGGAGGAAGTGGGTTGGCTCTAGCAACGGCTCGTGTGGCCTGGCAGATGGAAGAAAAAACCTCTGATTGAATGTACTTCGTTCTGCTCTACCTGCACACAACATTCAATTTCATTCGCATAATGGTTTATAATTTGGATTGAAGATTGTATGAATCAAACATTTCAACAAACATTCTATTATCTTTTGCTTTCAAACAATTCTTTGATTGTAACTTTTTTTGTTGTTGATCAATGATCAATCAAATCGGACCATTTCTTGAAAAACTTAATTGTTGAGATTAGTCTTCTATTCATTGGTTTGCTTCTTCACCTCTCGTTGACTCTCTCTCTCCCTTCCCTTCCCTTCCCTACCCATTTCATCTCAATTCTGCTATTTGTGCTAATGTCCTAAGCTTCATTGAAGCTTTTGCCCTGAAATCTTTCAAGAGGACACGTTAAGTTATCAAGTTGCACTTGCAAATATCTTCCTCAATTCCTCGAACATTCATTCATTCAACTTCTTTTTGGCTTCTCGTCATCATAAATATTCTTTATATATATATTGTATAAGATGAAGACATTTATAACATTCAATTGACTTTAGAGCCATAAATGGAATATAAGCTTAGGTTCGAATAGAGATGAGAGAAGATAAAAAGAAAATTAAGCTTTTAACGAAGTACAACTTGGTCTGTCTTCTGCTCTCCAATTAGTTTTCAGACAAAAGATCTGCTGTGTTGAGTTGAAATATTACAAAAACCCTTAAAGCTCATGATGTCTTACATTTCCTTTTACGGAAATGACGTCTATTCTTCATTTGAATGCGATGATGAACATTGTCATTTTCATCATCTTTTCTTCTTTTTATATTTTTTCATCATCATAACGATGAGCTTATTGAATATGAAAGAAATCTTTCTTGTCTTTGATTAAGAATTGACCTAATGAGCTGCTATTCGTCTTGAAATGCACCATTGAAATGAGCCCTCAGGGCTTATTTCCCTCCCTTCATGAAATTCAGAGCTGTGACACCGTCTCCTTCTCGGTCTGCATTTGCATCCTCAAAAATGCAAAAGATGCGTAGATGTGAGAAAGATTAGAAGAATACGTAAAAGTATTCATCTTCATTCATAAACCCTCATCTCTCTTCCTCATCTTCTTCCTCCTCCTCCTCCTCCTTCTTCTCTGATAATCATCCATGTAAGTGTGAGAGTGATGGAATTGCTTAGAAAAACAAACAAACTTTGGCCTTCTGTTTACTTCTTTCTCTGCTCCAGCTCCAGAAAATGTAAAAGATGATTTGAGTCTTCGGCCTATTCTGATAATTAGTCTTCGTTTTAGTTTGATTAATTTCTTTTTTTTTCTGCTCCTTTTTCGCGGATTAAGTTGTAGAGGGAGAGAGGGAGGGAGAGACGTAGAGAGGGAGAGAGGCGTTTCTCCAGCGACAAGCTTGTTCAACCTGTTTCCGTCATTTGCATTTGAAACTTATTTTTTGTTCTAAAAATAGTATTCTGCCTTCATATCTCAATCTTCCGCTTATATTTTTGTGAACTCAAAGAAAAAACAAAATGGAATCAAGTATTCAGATGAACTTAACGGATCATGTCATCCAAGAAACGGAAGAAATTATCGACTGCTCCATCCCAATAAATGAACGACGATGGTATCTAGTAGCTGTGGCTGGCACAAGCTTAAGCTTAATAAGCTTTATCTGTAATCTTATAATCGCTAAGGTAGTTTAAGTTCATACACGTCATTCATCTATATACATGGCCATATTGAAGGTTCTACTTAGCTCGAAGCATTCGCATTTCTACTTTCTGGCCATATTGGCTCTGTCAGATTCATTTCTTTCGTTTATGTATGGGCCAGTAATAGCTATGGATATAATTAAAGATCGTTTACAAGTATTTAATATGAGAAAGACGAAGATGTCATGTGTTGTCATCATTTCAGATACTATGGTTAACCAAAGCATATTGGTCGTATCTGGGACCATTACTATCATTATGCCAAGTAATATATTAATAAAAAAATATATTTAAAATTCACATTTCCCACTCTCTTTCAGACATCCATGACCTTCTCTACATATCTCATTATCTTAGCAACAATTGAAAGATATTTAATTACACATCGATCACGATCTCTAACAGCTTTCCGAAGGTAGGCTTCATATCTCATCACGTCATATCCACATCATACATGCTCAGATGTCGAACCATGCTTTCGTTTGTCGTATTCATGTTGTCTTTATTACTTAGAGGAACTGCCATATTTGAAATTGAGGTTAGTTTTCATGATGATGATGATGATGATGATGATGAGGGTGATGATGAGAGTAATAATGGGGAGAAGACGTTTTGTTTTTTGTTTCTCACAATCACATTCTTTACCTCAATTAAACTCTATACGAATATCAATAGCTGGCCGCATTGAAACGAATCCATCCAAAGTTTTAATTAAACATCCTCATATGCCTGAGGCGATGTTTCATTTCTCGAAAAAAGATTTTGGTGAATTGTTGAAAGATGAAACAAAAAGTTTGCAAATGAAAATTTCATAAGAACATCATGGGATAGAAGGATGGATGGATGGATAGATGGATGTATGGGATGAAGCATATTTGAAAAATGACGTTGCAGGTTCAGAAGAATTTTAATTGTACGGGAGTAACAGAGTATCTGCCGGGCTTGAGAGATGAAATCGTCGGCACCTTTTGGTATGGAACTGTATTCCGCTTTTACACTAGGTATATCTATATCATATAAATCTAATTTATGCTAACTATATGTATATTTCAGGAATATTATGACTGTTTTCTTGCCCTTCATCTTCCTAGCATATCTTAATTACAGTATCGTTAAAACTTTACGAAAACAACAAAGATCCGCAGAAATGTTCCGATTCTTAAGCAGTGATCACAAGGTAGATCATTACACTTTCATTTGTATAATCCATATATGTACACTTTAAGACGAAAATACGATCTGCAACTCGTTTAATGGTAACTGTCGTGTGCTCTTATTTATTGGCCAATGTTTTGAATGTTTTAATTACATTTTGGGAGCACATTGATTCAGATTCAACACAACAAGTTGAAACATACCAAGTACGTATTATTCTAATTTCATCTTTCACGTCTAAAGTACGTGAACTCGTATACCCCTTTTCTCATTTGTAGTTGTTACTATGTGCTGAACGGTTGTGTCTTATCTCTCTCTCTATCTCCTATACTTACATTCATCCATCTACTTCTGATCATTTCCTTCTTTCAGTTCTATGAAACATGTACAGACGTCATCTCCGTTTTGTACATTTTTGTGTGTGCTACTCGCCTAATAGTGTATTATTCGCTTAACAAGGTACATTCTAGCTTGTTTTCTCCGGTTTCTCTTGAAACACATTGTCTTACAACATCTGAAACTTTCTATTTTCAGGAAATACGCGAAGATATCCAAGCCCAGCTTTGTCATACATCCAAGCGGCCTAAACAAGTTGCTGCTCTACCAAGATTCAAGTAAGTCTATTTGGGAACGAGACAGCAAGCATCTTCGAATCAAAAAATGAAACGAACTACTTTATATTTTTAATCTGATAAAAGGAAACACGCAGAACTATGATAGCGATCGCAATAAGTTCAACTCTACCAAAATTCTTCCTTTTTCAACGCAATTTTGTTTGATAACAAGAAAAACAAGCCGGCCTAGTTGCTATCTCCGAATAGGAACAGAAAGAGTTTGCCATAAGTGCCGTGTGTCTCATCGAACTGCGCCCATAAGAGATACGTATTACACATGTGGGGTCGTATATAGACAAACTGAGACACATCGAAAAACGCCTAGGACGAGACTCGTAACTAGGGCGGTCTAAATCACTATGTTGAATATCAAGTTACGCTGAGGCTTCAGATCAAAATTCTCATTTTGCATTTAAACCAATATTAAGTAGAGAATTTGTTGATTGTCAATGTATCTTGAGAATGGGAGAGAATGTAAAAGACGCTCGGTCTGATTTTTGAAAAAAACTTGAATTGAAATCATTATATCTTTTATATTTCTATATTTTAGTGATGGAGTTGGTCAGCAGGTAGGAACTGAGATTGATGCAGTAGCTATAGCCATAGCACGTCGGTTGATGTCCTTAGATATACGACTGATTGATCCATCAACAACGAAAACGGAATTGAGTTATCCAGATAGTCCTGTACACGCCATTATCTATGCGAATAAGCATTGTCGAGACGAAGCAGAACCGGTATAAGATTGAATAATCATTTATTATATATATAAATTATAAGTTATTTATCGCAAATTGTATATATTCTGTTATCAATAAGTTATGACATTGTTTTTCATGTGAAAAGTCAAAAAAAGATTTTCTTATAGCCAATCATTCGTTTTACAATGATAGAGAAAGGTAATGATGATGATCATCATCTTACACACACACACACAGACACACACACAGACTTCATAACACACATAGATCTCATCTCTCGCAACTCTTTTTTTTTTGTTGTTCGAGGTGTGCAAACGATGAGATGAGACAATCAGCTTGAACCAACGTGTTCTCTCTCTCTTCGTCTCCCTTCTCCCCCCCCCCATCCCATTTCATTATTTCATTTGTCTTTTTACACTATTAGAAAAGATTTTTTTTTCTCGTTCATTTTTTCTTCTTTTTCATTCTTACTGCTGTCATCTACAAACTACATGCTGACGACACAGATCGCTTTTTAAAGAATATCAATAAACAGTCATTTTCATTTCGTTCTCTCGCCTCATGATCACAATGACCTTTTATGGGCATTGCAACTATCCTTTTTTTGTATTTTTCTTTTTGCTAACAATTCTATTGGATAATGACAAATCGATTGTATTACCCGAAACACCACGTGCTTTCTCTCTAATTCATCTTTTCCATCTTCATTTCAATGTTGTTGTTCTTCATCAAACTTATCCATTTATCGTGCGCATTCTGTTCTGCTCACATCAGGAACATGAAGTTGGGTTGAAAGGTGAAAGGTTAGATGATGTTGTCAAATCATGAAGTACTTTCTTTGATGATTGACTTACTCCAGTTGATTACTATCACCACTAGTAGCTCTGACTGTCAAACATGAAAGGCGGCATTGCTTTATTGTTTGTTTTTATTTGTTGATTAGATAGTTCGTAGTTGTTGTTAGGTTCATATGGGTACATTGCGGTACATTTGAGTTCATGGCAGTTCATCGCATGATTAGCATAACCCAATAACAAGTCATACTTCACGTATGCTTTGTCACGTCATGTGTTATTTAGCATAATTGATGTTACTCACGTTAAGACGGATCATTTTCAAGTTTACGCCAGCGCCATGCGGTTGCATTTAATTCTTTATCAACAAATCTTTACTTCTCTCTCTCTCTTTCTCTCTCTCTCTTTGAATTTCTTTTCAATCATCTGAAAATTCTTTGAAACTTTCCCTTTATCGCTCTCCATTATCAGAATAATATTATAAAATAATATTTTTTAATGTTTTTTCTCTCTAAATCACAAAATGCATTTTCTTAGCATCAGGACAACCCCCTTCCACTTGACCACCGCTCTTCAATATCTCTGTCTTCTGTCTGTTCAACTGATTGTCACATGCTAACAACGGAATTTCATTCGTGGATCATATCTCTGATTATCATATTAACATAAATAGAACATCATATAGATCTAAATAGCTGTTCAGCAAACTATTTTTTTTTATTTCGTTTGTTTTAAAATTAAAAATGAAAAACATACCGTAAGGAGTCATGAGATGAACAGAGAGAGAGACAGAGAGAGCAGGATAGAAGTATTCTTTGAACTGTTTTAAGATGCTATTTTTAAAAATCAAAAGTATCATACTAGTACAATTGATTATTGCTATTCTATTCTCTTTTTCTCTCTTTATCTCAACTATAACAACCGATCATGAGATATTGAGTGACGTGACGATCGAGAAACTTCGGATCGGCTTCATTCCGTTCTCTTCTTTGATCTCAAAGTAAAAATCTATGTCAAATATGTCCTATTCTAGTCCTTATCATTATAAACTTTCCTCTTTTTTATAATTCTCTCTTAGTGTTTCTAGCTCTCTCTTTCTCTCTCTCTAGTTCGCTCTCTCTCTCTCTCTTCTTTACAAACACACAAGAAGGTAAACCTTGTGTGACAGCAAGATGGTCATCAAAGAGCTGTTTTTTTCTTCTTTTTTCCACAACAATGTTGTAACTTTATTTTGTGAAGTAATTCTTTTTTTATCTCAAATCTTCCTTTCTCATTCATCAGCCTTATCAATAACCTTTGAATGGAAACTCGTTTTTGGAAATTGACAATCATGTGCCGTCTAGAAGCTTCAACTGTAAAGTTTTTTCAGAATGTTTTCCTTAAATTAACTTGATTTTCATAGATTCAATACCAGTTTCTGGGATTCTATTATAAAAATCATTGAAAACTTTGTTCTTCTTACGTTGCACAGTAAGCACTTCCGTTCATCCGACATTCAAATACAGATCCATCTCCTCCTCTCTATCTCAAATCGTTACAAGATCATTCGCAATTGCTCTCAGAGGTAGATCAGTCGATTGGATTCAATCTTCATCTGAATTCTTATACTCTTCTCTATTACTCATTTCAATCCTTATTCTTTATTAGTTTCTTATTTTCATTCATATACCGTAATGGGTTTGAAGTACAATTGTACTCCAACCCCCCACTCATTCCAATCTCATCAATCCTCCTATAGTCCTCCCACCTGTCTTATCCTTCAGCAAACTGCATAAAAGGCATTTTTAACATTATTTTCCCACTTTTTATCATTCAATTAAGATTTCATAACAATTTTCTTCATCTAAAACTACTCAACAACAGACTTCCTTTCTCCACTCACTCTCTTCTACTTTGCTCTTCCCACCAAAGTCCTAACCTTACTGATTGGTTCTCTGAATACTATTTGTAGTTTGACCTCTCTAAAGTTTTATATTCTTCTCAATCCATACATAAGTCACTCATCTGATGTTTTAGTAAAAATGGTATTACTTGGAGCTATTGACCAAGGCACTTCGAGCAGTCGCTTCCTTGTGTTTGAAGCTGATTCCGGCGAATTGGTTACTTCTCATCAGGTAGTCATCCTTGATTTAACACAAAAATATAGTTTCATCCTAAAATATGATATAGATTGATGTTATAAAGAAGATCTTATCATATATTATTGTTTCCCTTTGTAGTCAGAAAGTCACGTGGACTGATGGTCAAATTTGGCCAATACCTGTCCGCTCTCCAAAAACTAAAAGTTTTGACCTCCCACACATCATACATAGATTGGCTCTCTTCATGATTTGCTAAAGTGAAGAATTCCTATAAATACGAGCTTTTGCTAATTTCGATGTGATAAGGATCAGCTCATGAGGAGGTACATCGTATGTGCAGCTTCCTAAGATCAAAGTCTCAAAAATGAGCTTTGGATCATTATTTTGAGATGGGAGTAGACTCTCGTGAAACCTTGCGAAATCAGAGTCAAAGTACTTTGCTCAAAGCAAAACTATCAAAAGCAACATATGTTCAAACCTGACGTCACCTGGATGAGACCTCAGATGACGTGAGGTAACAAATGTTTGAAAATATGACGAACATTTATAATTTTCAAAAAATAAAGAAGAAATTAAAAAGTAAACGTTATTTGTGTTCAGATCGAGGTTCGACAGCTCTTCCCCAACCCAGGATGGGTTGAGATGAATCCAATTGAAATAATCGACACTGTCAAGGAATGTATTCAGGAAGTGGAGATGAAACTGTTAAACCTTGGAATGAGCGTTGAAGAAATCAAAAGTGTTGGCGTCGCCAATCAAAGAGGTTCCTATCTTTCTCTCTCTTTCTCAAGATGAAACATATATTGTTGTAGAAACGACGATTGTTTGGAATAAGAAAACAGGACTTCCTCTTCATAATGCTATAGTCTGGCTCGATACTCGCACATCCGACTTGGCTGCAGAAAGTATCGCCAAAACTCCATCTGGGTGAATATGTTTTTTGATTTTCTGATCTCTGATTCATTATTATCTTCTATTTTGATAGCGATGATAATTATTATTATTATTATTATTGTTTCAGATCACAAAATGAATTCAAACAGAAAACAGGATTACCCATTCATCCATATTTCTCTGCTTTGAAACTCAAATGGCTGCTGATGAACGTTCCTGAAGTTCAGGAAGCTTATGAAGAAGGTTACTATTCTGGCTGAGCAACACTCAATCAGTGTTTCTGAATTTAAGGGAATCTCTTGTTCGGTACAGTCGACACTTGGATCATTTGGAACCTTACTGGACAGTTCGTAACAGATGTTACTAATGCTTCCAGAACATTACTTCTTGGTATCGTTCACCCGGAGATTTCTCTTATCATACTTCCTTTCTTAGATTTACATAAAAGGAAGTGGTCAACACAATTATGTGACTTCTTCTCTATCCCAATTGATATTTTACCTGCAATTCGATCAAGTGCTGAATTGTATGGAACAATTTCAAGCGGACCACTGGCTGGAGTTCCACTCTCTGGTTGTTTAGGCGATCAGCAAGCTGCTATGGTCGGTCATGGATGTCTTCAGAAAGGTTCCCCTATATCTCATCGGTGATCTCATACAACCTATACTTCAGGAGACACAAAAAATACTTATGGAACCGGTACTTTCATGTTGTGCAATATCGGCTCTGTGCCAATTATCAGCAAGAATGGTCTACTCACTACAGTAGGGTTTCAGGTATGCCTCCACTGTGATAAACTGCCATAACTGATACTGCAATGTTACAGTTTGGTCCAGATCGCCCTGTTATATTTGCATTAGAAGGCTCAGGATCCATCGGTGGAAATGTCGTTCGATTCTTAAGAGATAACTTTCAATTCATTAAAGTGAATTTAATATTGTTTTGTCTTTCATAATCAATGGGTTGCAGGATTCCTCCGAAATGGAACCAATTGCTCGTTCAGTAGAATCAACTGAAGGGGTTTTCTTTGTCCCGTCATTCACCGGACTATATACTCCTTATTGGGACCCAACTGCACGAGGTACCATCCTCGGTTTAACACAGGTTGGTGACAAATTTTATAAGAAAGCTGTAAAGTGTTGGTCGGGTTTCGAATGAGCTAGGTGGCACCATGAAGTTCTGTATATGAAGAGCACAAACACTAAGAGAGTTGAATGGATAGTTGTATCCTGAGTCTTACGAAAGAAAATAACTTAGAAGTTGGATTACTTGTGAAACTAGGGGATGTTTCAGGTTACAAATAGGGCTCACATCTGCTTGGCTGCTCTCAAGGCCGTCGCTTATCAAAGTGCTGAGATGATCGAATGTGTAGAGCAGGATTTGGATAACGAAGTGACCATCAAAACATTGAAGGTGAATCTTTAATTTCGTTTGTCGAAAATGATTATTAGGTGGAAGAAAAAGAGTATACACAATTGGATGTCTCACAATCAGAATCTAGAGGATAATCATTCGATTAGTGTGATATCGTTCCAATTTCCCTTCTATAGGACCTTCTGCAGACGCGTCCATTCTTGTCCATCTAAGCTTTGGATTTGTTCTTAGTTGTTTTTTACGAAAAACAACGAAAGCTTTAATAACTGCTGAACACATTTCTTTAATTCCAGGTGGACGGTGGAATGACTGCTAATAAGCTGTTCAATGAGATACAAGCTGATGTCATCGGCAGACGTATTGAAACTCCATGGACGACAGAAATATCGGGATGGGGTGCTGCTATAGCTGGTGCTGTTGGGGCGAATCTCATGAGCACCGATGATCTACTGAACAGACCTCAGAGAGTAAAAGAGAATTATCTTTCTTTCAATAACATTCTTCGTGATTTCAGAGCAATGGTTATGACCCCACAACAGATGAAAATAGTAGACGACAAGATAACTTGAGATGGAAAGACGCTGTGCAGCGGTCTTGTAAATGGGCTCTGTAAATGAGTTTCACCAAAGATTAAAACTACCACACGAGTTCAGGAATAATATCAGATCAGCTGTACATATGTTGGAATAGTTCTCACTTATTAATTATTGTTCATGTACAAAATTGCATTTGCTCAAAATTTAAATAAAACTAAATCATGTTGTGATGTTACCCTCTCATCCGTTTGCTCAGTCATCCCGAAGACATACACTGAAAGAGTTACGACAAATGAATAATACAAACCACATCTTCTGATTACTCAATAGGGAATAACGTGCTCAAATGAGAAAGTACCTTTTAATGAGATACGTGAACTCTCGTAGGTTACAGTAGCTTCTTTCTTTTCGGACAGATTTGATTATGCAAATTCTTTATTTTATTGATGTTTGTTTTAATTTTAAATTGTTTTTTTGTAAAGTTTTATTTCTCTTTTTTTTTTTCGATGATATTTCCAGAATTATGTTTGTTCATGAGGTCTGGAATTATCACATCGCGGAAGCTGCACGCTAATCATCATCATCATATCAGTTATTAAATCATAACTGATATACGTGATCTTTCGTAGATTACTGTAGTTGACAGTGCTCCGTTGTTTTCGAAATTAATTTGATTATGCTAATTTTTGTTTTATTGTTATGATTTTTATATTTTGAACTAATTCAATTTTTGCAGATACTGCCATGATGATGTTTCGGTTGACCGGACGAGTCTATCCAGCTGATTTCTGGAAGGTGAAGGGGACTGCTTGTGGAAGTTGGTAGGTCATGAATCTAAGTGTGCATTTTATAAATTTCAATTTCAGGTGCTATTCCCATATTTGAACAGGAATTTTACTCAAAACGTTTTTTCTCCATGCTCGGAATGTGAATGAGCAGAGTAGGTTTCCACATGTTGATTCTTCATGCCCATTGTTCCAGAGCACTATCACATACCACTTGTACAGACGTGTGTCTTCAATTGATTTCCCAAGCAAGGACGCGCCTGCATATGGAACCTGGTAAGTCATTAGTCGAAGTGTGCATTTCGTAAGTTTTAATTTCAGTTGCTACTCTCATACTTAGGCAGGAATTTCATTCGAAGCTTCTTTCTCCATAGACGGAAGATGCAAGAGCACAGAAGGTACCCATTTCTGGAAACTTCTTACCAATTATACTTCCAGAAAACTATCACTTACCACTTGTACAGACGTGTGCTCAAGGACGCGCCTGCATATGGAAGTAGTTAAGTCATTAATCGAAGTGTGCATTTAGTAAATATCAATTTCAGGTGCCACTCTCGAACTTTCTCAGGAATTTTATTCAAAACCTTCTTTCTTCATGTACGAAAGATGTAAGAGCACAGTAGGTTTCCCCTTCTTGACTTTTCTTGAATGAAGAAGTTACTCACGAACTATACCAGGTAAGATGATAACCATTTTTGTTTCAGATGTGTAATCCAAAGGCCATGTATGGTCTTGTCGATATTTCTGACTTTTCAGCTTGGCTCTGCAATCATCGGCTTTGTGTTCTCAGCTGAACGGGGTGGAGAGGGGTGAAATAAAGATTTGATTTGGGTGTCCATGGGGTTGTTTAGATGTTTTCTCTTGCCTGCCGTTGCTGTTCGATACGTCCAGGAGTCAGATGTCTCGTCCGGCAGTTCCGAGACCGGGAAAGAAGAAGAAAAAAGAAATAATGGGCTTCTGACTGCT